CGTTCCCTTCCACCCACTCCTTCAGGACTGGGGGGACCTCCCCCTCCACCCCCTGATAGATCAGTCCAACCGTAAGAGAGAGAGAGGGAGGGAGAGGAGAGAGAGAGAAGGATATTTGGGAGAGTTTACATTAATTTGTATTTTGTTGATTTGAAGATTAACTATAAAATCACCAAAAACCCATCATTTTGCTCATTCATGTGGCTACAAAATCTCTAACGTAAAATCATAGAATCACCAATTATATAATAATTAATAGACACTGCCAGTTTTCCCATTACGTATCTCATTGCTCTGATGTACTCTATAGGCATAGGATCAACCCTCCCCCTCCTCCTCCCTCTCACGATAGAGAGGACCTTACCACAACCATGCCCAGATCAAGACCCCCTCCTCCTCCATCTCGAGGACCTGGTCACTCGTCAGGTAGAGCAGCTCCTCCCCCTCCCAGTAGAGCCCCGCCTCCTCCAGTACCTTCAGCAAAATCAGGGGTCTCATCACAAGGTATGGAATATACTATAAGTATACTAACTCAGTATACTCTTTATGTACTAGTATAGTTGATTTTTGTTTGGCTACTATTAGTAATCTTATCAGTATTTTTACTTTACTAATCTTATCTTTATAAATCTTTATTTTGTACTCATAGTTATGTGTATGTGTATGTACTTTCACACGTACTCAACTTATTTTGTTAGTATTTCTGGTATTGTGTTGCATATTTTGAATGACGGGTTTAAGTGGTTTATTATAAAGATGAGTAACTCTGGCATGCAAATGAGTAATTGAGTCAATCAATTATCAGCCATGAGATGATAATAGAAATGTGAATAATTATTTATAATAGTAGCAGTGTAGAATAATCATATGACACTATAGTGTATCGTTAGGAATGGGACAAGTTGATTTTGAAAGCATGCGGGAAATTTTTGTAGTTGATAATAGAAATTTGACTAAAGACTTTTTAAAATGGACTATAGTGCATGCTCTTGAGCCAACTTTCGGCTAGGAGAGAATTATCAATTCACAAAATTTTTATGATACATTTATGTGTACTTATGTTGTGTGGAAAAAGTTTTAACTGTTTCCAATCAAGTTTAGAATTTTTACAAATTTTTTAAGATCAGGCCAAAGTCCCTGCATTATAGTACAGAGATTTTGGCCAAATTTTGTCAAAAATGAAAAGGAAAGAATTCTCCATTTTTATAATTGTTTTTGATGCATATACATGTTCTTATCTAGTGTAGAAGGTTTGAGCTGATTCCGACCAAAATTGGATATAAAAAAAATTTAACGTTACTCAAAAGTTGGGCCAAGTCCCTGTACCAATTTTTTCCGTACATGTTCTGATACTGTGTATGTAGTTTGTGCTAATTCTGGTCAAAATTGAATTTATTTAAGTTAGTTCAAAAGTGGTGATGCACTGTAGTGCATCCCTTGTCAGCTCATGAAGCTCATGCTGTTTAGCTCACTTAGCATGCTTTGTGGGAAACCCTGGAGATATGCTTCAGAAAAATTATTAAAGTGGAGAATTCTCTCCTGGCAATTTTTGGCAATTTACCTAGTACTATAGTACAGGGTCTCTGACTGGTGGTTTTCTACAAGAAGCTGAGCACATTATGAATCATTTTCTTTCTCTCTCTCCCTCCCTCTCTCTCTCTCTCCCTCTCTCTCTCTCTCTCCCTCAGATGATCTTGAGAACAGATTTAGCTTTAAAACTGACTTACCTCCACCAGAGAAATTTATCCATGGACCAAAGATATATCCTAGCAAAAGCCAAACAAGTGAGGAGTCTACTGTAATGCCTGCATGTGATAATTATATTTATTTTCTGAATTTTTGAATATATTAAAAAAATTTTTTAGATCGGGATCGAAGAGCTCCACCAATGGCTCCAAGGGGCGGGGCACCTCCCCCGCCCCCTCCTCGCTAGCAGAAAATTGTATAATAGTGATTTTCGTTTAATTTTTGGTGGATAATAGTAATTAATGTTTACGAAATTTTAGCTGCTTAATAACTATTAATAACTCTGTGCATGTGTTGCACATGTGCAGTAGTGACACACACACTAGTAGCAAGTAGAATTAACACATGATAATAAAAGTTTATTATTATTATTATTATTTATTGATATTATTATTATTGTTATTATTATTGTTATTATTACATTGATACTGTATGCTCTCACTTAGTTTGAATTATTATTATTGTTATTATTTTTTGATTGTCTCTCATTTATTTCTTTTTGTGTCTGTAAAATTTTACACCCAATTTTGTTACTTTTCTAATTATTGTTATTGTATATTCTAAAATTGAGAATCATTTTTTTGGCTCACAAGAGAAGCACTACTGACCTTTACTCCACACTTTACACACTAATTAACACTAATTAACACTCATTAAAGTGTTAATTAATTTAACTTACACATTAATCCAGCATTAATTAACACTCATTAAAGTGTTAATTAATTTAACTTACACATTAAATATTATTAGCACCAATAATGGGTGTTAATTATATCAATTAAAAGTTTTATTTTTTGATTAATTAGCACTTACTGGTGTTAATAGGGGTGACATATCATCTTTGATATAGGCCACTACCCAAAATCAATGATTCAAGTCTGTCTATTTTGATACAGCCCTGACTGGCATCAATGTTGAATCATGTCTGTTGCTCTGGCTGAACCAGGGCTGTACTGCAGCATGGTTGTATCATGGATGATCATTTCCATTACCCTGGGGCTGCATGACTATTCATTATTGCGGTTTTGCATTGATTATACAAGCAGTTTATACAGCTGATAATTAATAAATTTAATGAAAATGAACAAACCCGCCCACCTGCATCAGACCCGCCTCTGCAATGGGAAACTGTGAATCTTATTGGAGTGGCCTATTGCCTTGCAGGCTGCCCAAAATGAATGATGCAGGAATCTATTAGGCTGATCCTGATTGATATCAGTTATGATTCAAATTAAAATTCTTGGCTGTGTACATATAGACAAACAAACAAACATACTCGTCTCATTTATGTGGGGCTCACTCAGGCTCGCCCCAATAAAATAAAAATAAAAAACAAAAAATAAAAATAAAAAACAAAAAAATAAAAATAAAAAACAAAAAATTGAATTAAAAAATTGCCATCATAGACACGTGGTTGTCCATAACCGTACACGACCGTTCCATTTACTCTAACCATGTGGCTGACGTCATCTCCATATCCAGAGGTGACCATACAAAAACTACGTATGGTCGCATCTCCTTCAACTCTTATGGTTACTCAATTTTAGTAAAAAATGA